ACACAAAGGGGAAAGAATGTGAATACCTTGCCACAAGGGAAGGGAAGGGAAGGGAAGGGAAGGGAAGGGAAGGGAAGGGAAGGGAAGGAAGAAAAGCACAGTCCGTTCTTTCAGACTTTTTGGAAATGGGTCAGAGGGATTTGAGGAGATGGTCTTGTCCCCCCTGCTAATCAACCTTTGGGCGATAGCGCATGGCCGCTTCTGTGCTGGTGCTTTTGTTTGTTGTGTCTCTGTGGACTAGACCAAGGATGTTTGTCCCAGAAAAGTGCTGCTGCTGTACCCCTGCATGGTGCCTTCTCCAGCCAGAGCTTGTTCTTTCTCAAGGCATGTTATTACCAACAGCCCTTGGTTGGCTCCACAGCCACCTGTCTATCAGTGTTAGCCCCATTAGCCCCATATCCTCCTGGATCCTACACCCTGGCGGGAGGCAGGGCCCACGCACGGAACAGACCCAGCTGGGGCAGCTCCTGGGGGGAGCCCCAGTGTGACACAAAACGGTATGTGTTGAATGAATGCTCAGTTTCTCGGCAGTCCTGCCTGGCATGGCTGGACTGCCGAGAGCAAAGGGACGAGGGAAAGGGAGGTAATCCAAGGAGAGACATGCTGCGGGCTGCTGTGGGTGTGCAGAGGGCAGGGAAGGCTGCGGGAGGACAGAGAGTAAAGGGAACCCGCAGAACGAAACACTGTTTTTCAGAGAGTATCTCCTGCAGCATTACGTTGTTCCTTAGGAACAGCTGGAATGGTTCCTTCTGTCACCATCCAGCACCTGCTGTCCAGTGCAAACCTTGGGAAGAAGGATTTTGCAGGGCGACCCTCGCCGATTTCTGCCGACAAGTCAACGGGGCACTTCAACCCCCGGCCTTTGCGTGGCACAAAGCGCCTGTGCGGCGCTGCAGTGGTTTGAAGCCACTGGAACACCGGGAGCACGGACGGGCCAGTGGCTGAGGTACCAGGGCGGGCCGGCTTAGGGCTTGCTGCTCCCCGAAGCAAACAAAAATCGAGTCACTTCAAGTCAGACCCGCGAGCATGAAATACACTTCATTTTTCATATTTTTTAATATTTTTAAATGTCTTGTACATATTTTTGTAGCTCTATGCATTGGCATTAATATCACGCATTTCCGCCCTCACGCCCTCCCCCGCGCCGCTGCAGCCGCCCAAGAACGCCCACAAAGCACGTCTGCGAAGCGATTCTAAGCTCCCGGTATCCCTCGGTTTATCCAGCTCCGTGTCCAACCTCCGGAAAGCGCTCGCGACCCAGGAACGCTCCTGGGCGCATGACGGCTCCTGACGTCACCACACGCCACAGCCCCCGCCCCCTCCGCATGAGGCCCCACCCCGCCCCTCCCGCCGTGTGACGGCGCAGTGCGGGCAGGGCCTGCCCCGCGTCGCTGGGTAGTGACGTCAGGGCGGCGCGCCGGGGCGAGCGGTGGTGCCGCGGCCGTGGAGGTTCTGGGTTCGTGCGAGGCCGGGAAGGGACCAGTAGAGAGGGAAAAGCGGTTCGGCTTCCAACGTGGAGCCGCGGCTGTTTCGCGGCGGGCGGTACTGCTCCTCCGCACCAGCCCCGGCTTCTGCTCCCTCGGCCTCCCGTTGGCGCTGCCCGAGCCGCCGCGGCTCCGGCGCAGAGTGTCCGCCGCGGTGCCCGCTCCGCTGCACTGCCCCCGGGGATGGGCAGCGCGGCCTTCCTTACCATCTGTGCTGGCACTGGCAAAGGGTCTGCTCGGAGCTGGGAAGAAATAACTGTTACCTAATTCCAGGGAACTCTTTCCCACTTTCTGCTTAAAACATTTTTCGGTCGGGGTAGAATTAACGAGAAGGCATCGAAGGGATATGAGCATTAAACTGCGTGGTTTACTGTCAAAACTTGTTTTTTTGCGGGAAAGAGCGTGTATTGGCCTTTATTAAAAGTGGTTGTTTTCCTGTTGCAGGCTAAAACCGAGCAGGTTTTGTGCAGAGCAGAGTCTTCTCTTAATCAGATGCAGGCTGAGTTCAGCAGTGGTGAGTTGTTTCTCCAGTTTGTTACCTTAGGAGACAGCAGTGTGTGTAAAATACATGAACGTGGCCCTAAGTGCAGTACTAATGCTGCTTCCCACTTATGCTTCTGTGAGCTTTGCTTTCCATGTCTCAGATAAAGTCAAGTCTGTAATGTGTCTGACGTGGCTTTCAAATTAGCATCCATAATGTATTAGAACTACTCAAGTTTTTACAAATAGCATGCTCCCTCTGGATTTTGGTTTCCTGAAACTTCATTGCAACAATTTTTTCATTGCTCTCTGTTTTTCTTGTCTCATTCTTTCCTTGTACTGTTCTGCAGAGGAGCATTTACTATCATATGTATAAATGACATAGTAAAGATTTTTGCCACCCATGCTTTCTTTATGTATAAAATTTTGCAGCTGTATCATCAGAAGTAGAATTTAACTGTAGTTAAACTGGAGTGTCTTAAACCCGTTCCAGAGCATGAGGCAGACTGAAACTTGTATTTCCATCTCAGTTGTTGTGCACTAGTTTGTTCTAAGTGTTCTGCAATGTCTTTTTGAAAGTCTGTTAAAACAAGGTGAATTAGGAAGAAGTCAACAGAATGAAATTGACCTTGTTATATTGGTCATCCTATAAACTTACTATTAAACATTAAAAATATTCTTCCATTGTCTCTGTATCTATTTGGGTTTTTCTATGTCATCAATACTGAACCCAGTGACAGTCTCTTCTGATTTAGTCCTTGAAATTATCCCACTAATTTGTTTACTGCCTGGTTTTTCTGTTGGGTGTTTTTGGTCACTTTGGTGACTGTTTAACCTGAAAGGCCATTCTTCTCCTCAGAATTTTTAATATGAACTGACTTGCTTCCCTTAACATTACTGTCAGCCTTGCTCACTGCTGTCCTTTATTCCTGTGTTCCTTGTTCTTTTATTTTTTGTGTCTTCTGCATGCTTTTTTCAGGCTTAGATTTTAATTTCAGTGTTAAATTTCTGTAAAAATGAAGTTTTGGAAGTTCTATTCCTCTATTTCTGTCAGTAGCAGTATGGGAAGAAAACACCTCTAACTCTTTCCTGCTGAGACGTTTTTAATTTGTTTTCTTTGCTGTGATTTAAATTGGGCAAATTAAAGGTAGCCTTGTTCATTTACATAAAGAAAAATCAATATGTTGGTTTAGGAAAATCGCGGTAATGCCTAACATTAGTCATTGTGGTGATTTTGATGATTACTGTAGTTGTTAGTGGCTTTAAGTAGTACCTTTAATAATCAAGATACTACTAGTTCTTTTGGGTTCATTGTTCAGTAGAAGTATAACATGGCATGATTGATACAGATACTGCAATGTTAGAAAAGAGATTCATGGAAGAGTTGGTAGAAGGCTGGAGAGATCAGTGTAACTACCAGCTTTTCCTGAAGCTGTCAGTATTCTAGCTAATGTGTTGTATCAGTATCATTGTGAACTCCAGCATTCCTATTACTTGTTTCAGAAGGTGTTCTTGTGGCTTTTCAGCACAAGAACTTTGTTTTTCCTGTGCTGTAAATGTGCTGTAAAAGACAGTAGTAAGTTTCTGATTGAACCTTCCAAGCTGCAGTATGTAGCTATATTGTTGTTTATTAGTTGTGTAATCTGCTGACAAGAAGCAGAAAGTCATCTCGGTAAGTGCCGTTCTAGTTTTAAGTGTCTACGAAGTCTTCCCTTAGCTTCCACTTCATTAAAAAAAGTCCTCAGCCTCTCCTCATAGTTAATTGGCTTTAGATCCCAGACAGTAGCTCTGGCCTTTCCCCAGTTTCTTCCTACTCGAACTGACGAAAGGGAGAACTGTGAGAAACCAACTGGAGACTGTTCTAGAAGCAGTCTCAGACACTGACTAAAAGAGGATAACAACATCTCTAGAATCACTTGTGCTCTTAAAGTATCCCAGAAAATGTTTG